TATATTAATCCTAAGTGTTATAATATCATTTAAAAAATTTTCACAAATAATTAATTATAAAAGTTAGTAGAAATTTTTACTTTCTATTTAGTATATGGTCTAAGATTTAGTTAAAGATTATACTTAATCTATGTAACCTATAATGAATGAGATTTAAAAATAAGTTTGCTTAAATTTACTTTATTCAATATTTCATGTTCTACATAAAAGTTTAATGATCCAACAGTTAAATTAAAAGTTTGAAATGCATAGATTAAGTCTGTAAATTTTTAAAAAAATTTAAAAATTATTTAATATTTTGTTTTATTAATTCAAATTGATGAATAATTATAAATGTATTTTATACATTGACATAAATTAATGAAATGAAATATCGAATAATTTTTTAATTTTTAAAAAACTTTTTAAACTTGATTTATGTATTAAATGTTTTTAATTCAATAGTTAAATTAATAAATTTTAACGTAAAACATGAGTTATTAAACGAAGTAAGTTTTGTTAGACTTATTCTTATAGTAAGTAAATATCTCTTCATAATTAATTAAATTTTAATTCAATTTAAATAGTATTTTTAATTTTCTTATAAGTGATGTGAATCAAATTGATTAAACTTCTCAATTAAGACCCGCCATGATGTTATTTTGATGGGCAACGCCCGCGGCCATGGTAGTGAAGGTTCCTTCATGCCTGCTTCGTATTGTTTCACCATAGTCAAGAGCTCAACGGATATACTAATAGTTTCTAGAGTTAATCACCTATATATTATTAGTGTAAAGTTTTTTTACATCAACAACCAATTATATTCTTTAATTGTGTCATGTCACTGTAAACACAATTACTTTTAACAATGACATAGCACAATTAAAGGATATAATTGGTTTCCAGTATAAAAAAACTTTACATTAGCAATATATAGGTGATTAACTCTAGTTTCTTGAAGAAGACTTTCGAAACTTTTTCCCCCCCCCCCAACCTGAATTTCTAAAGAGTTTAATAATGTCTATCCAAGTTTCAAATAATAATAATTCACATATAACAATTCATAAAATTTATATAACATCATTTTATATGTCTATCTCTTTTATCATTAATAAATATGGTTAATGATGTAGTGAAGAAATATAGACATAAAAAATAATGAAAAATGTTAGTGTTACATTCTCTGTATGGTTTTCTTGTTGATAATTCGTTTTTTATTGCAATTGGTTTAAAATACAAATTATAGTAGGACTTGCAATATAAAAGAGAAAAATAAGATGGAGAGAGTTATGCGTATAATCTTGGAATTTAATGACGGAATGTAAAATAACCAATTTTTTTTTTTTTTGTTCAAATTCAACATTTAAATAGATTTCTAGGCATATATATAATTAAACTATATGATAATATTGGTTAAAAAAAACTGCTCCTATAAGATAATAAGAAATTCATAATCATACTACTTTTTATTTCACACATTTTCACATAAGAGATTTGGCTTATACATCAAATCATTTCCAAAACTTTGAGCGTTCCTAAACACACACTCAACTAATTAAAAACATAAAATAAAACATTCGGGAAGGCACACTCTCTTACAAGGCAGAAGACTACTAACCCCAGCAAAGATTTATTAGACACTAGAAATTAAAACCTAGCACATTAATTATTTATTGGAAAATTCTTTGCCCAGGTGACAATATTCTGTTGGGATCAAATTCAGCTTTTCTGTCTTCAAAAAGTTTCCACTTGGGGCCAAAGTGTTCCACCCATTCTTGATGTGTTTTCTTACTAGGAAGATATTCTTTGATCTCAATACCAGCATCCTTACAAAACTGTAATGTCAATTGATTTTGAACTTGAAATTTCTTCGCAAGCTTAAATCCACTAGTTGCAAAATTAAAAAAGTTTACAGAGTAAAAAATATCTTCATCTGGTGTAACCGCTGACATCCTATCATCCCACCTGCAAGTTATTAATGCATGTTGATTTAATTTATTTCTCACATAAAAAAAAAAAAAAAAAAAAAAAAAAAAAAAAACCC